TGGAGATACGTCATTGTCCATTGTTTACTTCCTGGGTATCGTGACGTAGGAATGGCCAGTAGCCACGCCCAGAGCTATGGCCGCACCCTCTGCCAGCCTTTCACGTAACAAAGCTTCCCAAAACCTTTCAGGATTCATGCCGGATATGTACAGCGTAGGGCACTGAAGAACGATGCTGTTCCTACTTTGTTTGGACAAGCGGGAGTTCGGGTACACAACCTGTAAGTATTCATTGTTGTTTGTGTATTTATGATGTTTAAAACAAACAAGGTATCTACCACGACTGTTTAAATTGGTAAACGTTTTTCGGACTATTACGTTGAAATGCTCTCCGCAGACCCATGCTCACAGCGTTATAAACCTTTTTCTTACTCAATATCAAGCCACACTTATTGTTTTTACTTCGGCTGTGAGTGTTTGTGTGTGCTCAGGATGAGTTTCGCTTGTTCTAGCTTTATCGCCAAGCCTGTCTGCTCCTCCAGCAGTGTGTGTGTCTGTGTGTGTGCGAGCAATGCTAACTGGGCTAACTAAGTTGCTAGCATTTCCATGTATCAACTCCAATGTTAGCAGATGGCCTTACATGTATCTCATAGCTGGAGAATGTCTGCAATCACACACAAAATACTCATAGACAGTATACTCCAGGTGATTTACCGTACGGTCAGTACATTATAGTTGGCGTTCCTGGCGTGTATGCTACCGAGCTACCGTTCATAGCGTGTATGCTACATAGCTAAACAACAAGGCTACCTAGAGCTAGACATGCTAGGGAAAACATTGTTTTCATGCCAGCTACAATGAATGACCGAACGTAGCAGACTACCCATATAAGATTGCAATTGTAAACATGTTCTTGCTAGCCTAGACTAGCTGTTGTTCATAGTAGATTGGCATATTACACTTAACAACTAGCAAACGTAGGTTAGCATATTAGCTGGCAAGCTAACTGTGTTGATTAGATAGATAGATTAGATAGATGCACACTCCTACAACAACTACTAACGAATCTAAAACAACTAAGTTTCTCTAATATTTTGTGATTTGCATTTGATTTCGTCCAGCCAGTACAGCGCTTCGCCATTGTCAACGGGGGGGGGGGGGGGGGGTAGCTTCGTACAGAGCTTCGTGACCACAGAGCATGTGAACGTTGTGATCAGCTGTTTTAGCGCAGTGCTGCTGTACAGACCGATGTTAACAGCAGCCCTGTCTGTGCACACGGAGACCGACTCTGTCGTCCGGTGATCTAACCGCCTTCTGGAAAGTACGTCGGTACGCAAATGCGCTTTGTGACACAAGTGACGGTACGCATTTCAGATTGTTGCTGCGCATGCCAGAGGTGGGGTCTCGAGTCACATGACTTGACTCGAGTCAGACTCGAGTCGCATATTTTTTTACTTGAGACTTGCTTGACTAACATTGATAAAAGACTTGACTTGACTTTGACTTGGTATTCATGACTTGAGACTTGACTTAAGCTTGAGACAGATGACTTGAAAGGACTTGACTGTTTAAAATTCAATATTTGCGTTTGTTTTTGTAGTGAGATATTACGTTTAGTTTTTTCGAAAAACGTGATTGGGTGATTATAGCGGCATGCGCGCAAACCTGGCAACCCACTAGACGGCAGGAGTGTCAGTTAACATGGCAGCGGCTAGCGTTACTCCAAAAATAGTGAAGTTTGGATTCAAGGATTATGTTGTCGATGACGCTAATAAGAAGAGAACAGCGGTATGCAGGGTCTGCAGCATAAAGATCAGTGACACGACCACCACAACATCCAACTTCATTCGTCACTACAAATAACCCCACAGAGAAAGGTGCGTGAATGTGTTGTGTTAGCTAGAAAGCTAACGTTAAGTTTAAGCTACGTTAGACTTGGTTTCAAATCGATTAAGCAAAGAGAAGACAAAACGGTCAATTAACACTAGAACCGCCAAGGGATTCATTTTGACTAACCCTGATACTGACGGGCTGACAGGAGAGGGAGAGAGAGAGAGGAAAAGAGATGCCTCGTTTATTTCCCCTGTGTTATTATCAGAAGTTACTGTAAACTTTTGAATAATGTAGTTCATCTACTTTTAGTAGTTTGTTTAAATGTTTTAATTATGTTGTTTTTTGTTTGTAGAAGTGCATCATTCCTTGATTTATTGTAAAATGAATCTGAACTTTTTGATCTGTTATGATGATAAACTGAAGCAATTTCTAAATTAACCCAATTAAGTGAGTTTTAAATCGTCCTACTTAGTTTATAAGGAAATTATGAAGAGGAACAAATTAAATGATTTGAAAATGATATCTATGGAGGTGCTGACGCTGTTGGCGGTTCTAGTGTTAACAGACATTTAAATTAAATATGTGTAATGGCAAATGCCATATATGACTTTCTTACCTGGAATTCTGCCTTTTTGAACAGACTTTTTGACTGAGTCCGAGCTATATTGTCTGCAGTTCTAGGGTTAATATGAATCTAATATGATTGTCATCGAATTAGATTTCAAATGATTAACTGTGTATGTAATGAAGATCATAGTGTGGGTTAAATCCATTTTCATAACCACTGTCTTTTAACTGATTTAAATGCAGGAAACTGGGCTTATTCATCAGAATTTCGTATGACTTGACTTGACTTGACTTGACTTGACTTGACTTGACTTGACTTGACCTGAGCAATGACTTGACTTGACTTGCTTGACTCTCACCACAGTGACTTGGGACTTGCTTGATACTTGTAGGTCAAGACTTGAGACTTGCTCATGACTTGCACATGTAGGACTTACTCCCACCTCTGGCGCATGCGTACCTGCGTACCAGTTATGTGCACCCCTGATTATAAGTCAGTTCTCCAGCACTCCATCTTTCAGTTGAACTTATCACAGGTTAAAAAAAGCTAATAATCACAGGAAATATTAAAAGTATAAAACAAGAGAACATTAGCCGGTGTTGGAGCTATACATTGATTTGTTTTTATTTAATAGTTAAACATTTATTTTGTTGCTGTTTTTGTTTATAGTACATTTATTATTATTTTGTGTGATTATTTAAGTTAATTAAAGTAGTAATAGTTAATCGTAATAGTTTCAGAGCCAGCAGGTGTAGCTGGAATTCCTGGTGAGCCTGTGACCCTGTGTATCCACTGTGTGTCCAGTATCACCTGCCACCCCCCCCTTCATTACCATTCTCTACCTGTCCACCACACTCCCTCTAACTTTCAAACTCCCCCATATTCCCCATCTCTCTCTCCCATTATTTCCCGTCCTCTCTCTCCTGCTGATCTCGAATAAATGCATATGATGAACCAAAACTGTTCAAAACAGTTAGAATAAATCAACATCATTTTGACCCTGTTCAAGAGGACAAGCAGCAATCTCCTCCTTTTTAGGGCCAGTTTGATGATTTGGATTCAAAGATTCAAAGGCTTTATCATCATATGCACAGAGCTATAGTGTAGACATACAATACACATCTGAAGTCCCAGGCTCTTCCAACAATTAACATAAATATATATAATACATAAAACAATCGAGCAAAGATAAAAACAATAAAAACAGTGCAAGAAAAAACAGAGTATAAATAAAATAGCAAAAATAGCAATGCGGGAGAAGTTAACTATATACAAGTAAAATAGAAAAAAGACTATAATCTCCTGAAACAAAAAATTGTTGAGATTTAGTTAGCTTAGCTTAGCATGAGCCCTTTATATGTATGTATCGGGAACAGAACCTCTTCCGGGGGTCCAGCATGCTGCGAACACCAACAGTGATGTTCCTCTGATCTTGGCTGTGTGTCTCGTTCTGAATCTCAATTATGAATATGTTTCTGTAAAGACATTCACGTTCATACAGGCTCTTGTTTCTGCTCTCAGCTGATGAAGGTGATGTGACGACCTGATCAGATCAGCTGGGGCCCCTGGGGGGTCCTACAGCTGTGATCTGAACACAGTGCAGCCATGACCCCCCCCCCCCCCCCTCCCCCATATTGCTGCATGTCAGGGCCGGACTGGGACAATAAGTCAGGCCGGGAATTATACACACGGCATCTATTGCACGTCTGTCCGTCCTGGGAGAGGGATCCCTCCTCTGTTGCTCTCCCTGAGGTTTCTCCCATTTTTCCCTTTAAACTGTGGGGGTTTCTCTGGAAGTGTTTCCTTGTACGATGTGAGGGTCTAAGGACAGAGGGTGTCGTATTGTCATACTGATATTCTGTACAAACTGTGAAGTCCACTGAGACAAATGTAACATTTGTGATATTGGGCTATATAAATAAACATTGATTGATTGATTTATGATACACCCAGCCAGGCCAATACCAGTTTTTGTTTTTTTTGCCATTTTTCTGGATTCATTTGTCAATATTTACAGTGTTGCTGCCCATAGTGATAGCCCTCTAGTTTAAATCTAATACCCAATAATAAACATATGGACAGGGGCTACTATTTAAAAAAAAGTGCAAATGTATTTGGGAACCTATCCATGTGAAAATATTTTAAGTGGTGGTGGACCTCAAATCCTCTAGGGGGGTCCGGGGCATGCCCCCCGGGTAAGATTTTTTTTTCAATGTTTGTCATGGCCATAACAAAAAGTGTGGGAAGGACGAGAACATATATGAAAAATATATTTATTAACAAAAACTTAACATAAACCAAAAACAAAGCAAAGAAAACTAAGCGACGTGGCTGCTCCCAGATCAGGTCCTCTGCGGGGAGAGAGATCTTGAGACTCTGGCTCAGGCCTCTTAATCCTCCGCCAGCCCTCAGGTGTCCTCAATCAGGGCGTCAGGTGTCCTCAATCAGACGGACACAAGCAGAGGAGGAACATTAAAGGGCCATACACACACCACAGGAGACCTTAAAGCAGGGGTCGTCACAACCCCCCCCCTTAAAGTCGGTGTCCCCAGGACCACCGGCACAATGAACCAACCCCATCCCAAACAAAAACAAAAAGTCATAGAAAACAAAACATACATCTGGCACACCGTCTCAACGAACCCTAATTATAATATACCACCTTCTCACAACGTCTCTGGATGTGACCAAGCCCCCCGCAGGAGTAGCACCTCCGGTCGTTGGCATGCCCACAGTCACGAGCCATGTGGCCTGGTTTGTTGCCGTTGTAGCATACATCCTCAGTTTGGTCACAGTCCCTGGCCAAATGTCCTTGATCTCCACACCGATAACAGAACATCTCCTTGCCACGTCCTCGACCCCTGCTGCCGCTGCCGCCACAACCACCATCAAAGCCGCCGCCACCACGACCACTATCAAAGCCGCCGCCACCACGACCACCCTGACCAGTGGAGCAATGCCTGGCCTTCTGGTTTCTACACAGCATAGCTTTGACCATAGCACACGGGATCATGCAGGAGGACGTGACCTCTGGCACCACTGTAGAGCTCTCCTCAAACCCAGACTCAATCAGACCACCAGTCACTAAAAATGCCGGGAGAACATCAGTCCAGATCCTGCCACCTGCCAAACCGTTGCCCAGAATAAAATGTATCCGCTCGATTGGCAAAGCTGGACGTACATCAACAGCTACTTCACCTTTAACAAGGTCACAGTCAATATACACCTTATGAACAGGAATAGGAAGAATTTTTAATCCCATCCCCCAACTTAGAACTGTGTCACCTGTGTCACTTTCACCAGACAACGGCAAAACAGAGTCAACAATATAGGAGTCAAAAGCCCCTGTGTCCCGCAAGATTTTGATTGGAACTCTGACATCACTACCTACCAATGACACCAAGCCGTCTCGTATAAATGGAATATAAGATGCCAAAACCTCAGATCCACATAAGTGGGATTTAAGCACATCGGCAACACAGCAGCTTTTCACAGGAGCAGCCAACGCAACAGGCCCAACTAAACATCTTCCTCCCTCAGATTTTGCTCTAAGCGCAAGACATTCTGCCTTCCAATGGCCTTTTTCACGACAGTAGTGGCAATTATCAATGTTAACCATGTTGTCCACATCAGTTTTTACCAAACCCAATTTCCTTGGATCCATCCCAAATGAACCAACATCAACAGCCTTTCTACTTCCCTCAAAAACGGTTAGGGCCCCAGAGCGCCCTCCGAACCCGCTCGCAACACAAACTCATCACCTGCCACAGCAGCTTCAGCCGCAGAAGTGACCTTTCGTTCAGTGACATATGTTGCAATACGATCAGGAAGAATATTTTTGAACTGTTCCAAAATCATGAGTTCAAACAAATCGTCAAAATAAGCGATTTCAAGAGCAGTTAACCAACGCCTAAAATGAACAGACAAATTCCTCGCCATCTCCACATATGTTTGATCTTGTTTTTGCTCAAAGGACCTAAAACGCTGTCGATAGGCCTCTGGCACCAGTTCATATGCTCTAAGCACCGCTGATTTTATTTTACTATAGCTAGAGCTATCTTCCAGACATAAGGAGGAATATGCAGACTGTGCTCTTCCTGTGAGAACACACTGAAGCATCAGGCCAATCTCTAGCCCTAGCTATACGTTCAAATAATTAAAAAAACGTGTCGGGATCACTTTCATTAAAGTGAGGCAGCAAGCGCAGGTTACTAATATCAAAGCGATGAGCAGACCTGGTCACCTGTTCACCCTGCCCCTCACCGGACAACGCGCCATCTCTGAGAATAGACAGACGATGTCCCTCCAACTCTATCTTGGCTTTCTCAGATTCTTGTCGCATCCGCTCCACTGAGATTTCCTTTTCAATTCCCAACTCATACTTCATTTTGTCATGTTCCCGGACATGTTCATACTTCATTTTGTCATGTTCCCGGTCATGTTCATACTTTACTCTGTCATGTTCCCGGTCATGTTCATACTTTACTCTGTCATGTTCCAGGTGCAACAACAACAATTCCCTCTGCTGCTCAAAAGAAAGTGCACTAGCCTGAAAAAGAGGTTTGAACAAAACCCCCTCTTCCTTTGTAGCAAAAACTCCTGTCTCCCTTAATGTCGACACTATAGAGTCTTTTATGTTGTCTTTCACCCTTCTATCACCGACAATAGACACAGAGAAATGCTCAGCAATCAAGAGCAATTGCTCTCTTGAAAAAGTGCCAAGAGACTCCTGAGACGGAGCTTCAATAATCCTCTACGTCAGCCATCTTAACTTACAACGACCCCTCACCGGAACACAACACTGGACCTTGACGCCGAGAGAAGGAAAAAAAACAAAAACACAAAAATAAACCGGACAGATACCACCACATTTATTATGCGTCCAAAGTGGAACAACACACATTTTTTGATTGGAGTTTCCCCACTAACTATCACCATCCCACTGACTAATCTCCTCCCTGGTCTTCATGCAGTTACTTGTGGTGGGTATTTATGCACCGGAGACCGCTGGCCCAGCAAAGCGACTAGCAAGCTAGCAACACTACTGAGACCACGGCCATGCTCCCAAGCCGAAGCTTCAACCACTTTCTCCGCAACACTATACACCCCGCTCAACAATCCCAAGGGAACCGCCGCTTAACCTGCCAGGGAAAACTCCACACTGCTCCACATGCAACGCACCAACAAACCCACACGAGAGAGAAAGGAAAAAAAAAAAAAAAACAGCTGACCACGGCTAAGAACAACTAGCATCCACTCTCCTGAAATATAATACCAAACAAATCAAAGCCTCACAAAGTAATCAAATCAGTCCCCAAACAACGATCTGAAACCTAATGTCCTTCCCACAACGAGCCGAAACAAAGAAACCGGCTGCACTGCAAACGTGCTCCCAACAAACTTTGTACACGCGCACCAACTCCCAACACAAATCGTACCTATCCGTTGCTGTATCACAGATAAAAGAAGTGGACGAGCCCCCATCTGTCATGGCCTGGCTCTTGGCCATAACAAAAAGCGTGGGAAGGACGAGAACATATATGAAAAATATATTTATTAACAAAAACTTAACATAAACCAAAAACAAAGCAAAGAAAACTAAGCGACGTGGCTGCTCCCAGATCAGGTCCTCTGCGGGGAGAGAGAGCTTGAGACTCTGGGTGTTTCTCAATCGCGAGTAAAGCTGCTGCAGAGCCACTATTTCAAGCATACTACGTCATCGAGTGCCGCCGAAGTACTGTTCCAATCTCCAGCATACTTGGAAATCTACCGAGCCCGGCGTACTCCGTTTGGAGAAATTTCGAGGCTGCACATGAGTAGACTCCGCGGTCTTAAAATCCCCACAATGCTTTGCGCACGGACCAATTTCCCCAAATCTGTGGCGGAAGATGTAAGGCGGGGCCTCTCATATGACGCACACCTGCACACTTGCTAGCCTATTCCACTCTTTGTTTTCCGAATGGCAGGAAGTATTCTTGCCTCACTTCTGAAGCAAGATGCTCGGCAGACATGTGCTACCAAGCAAGCGTACTCGCGATTGAGAAACACCCTCTGGCTCAGGCCTCTTAATCCTCCGCCAGCCCTCAGGTGTCCTCAATCAGGGCGTCAGGTGTCCTCAATCAGACGGACACAAGCAGAGGAGGAACATTAAAGGGCCATACACACACCACAGGAGACCTTAAAGCAGGGGTCGTCACATGTTGGAGTTAAATGCATCAATCTGGTGCAATTTGAGTGGAAAATAAAGAGACTAGATCTATGGAAAACCCCATATGAAACAGAACTGTATACATTTAAATAATCATAAAATCATAAGAACATGGCCATAACCAATAACATACCATATCCAATATAAAAAATGTGTTTATTTATTTATTTTTGGTTCATTTATAGTTGTGAGTGTGTCTGTGCTCCTGAATCAGCCTCTCCTGTCTCCCTCCTCTCCCTCCTCCCCCCCTCTCCCCCTCTCCCCCCTGCTCCTCTTTGAGGCAGCAGCAAAGACTAGTTTTAGCTCTCAACAAGTTTTAAAAGTTTATCTTACCTTCTTTCACCTATTTAAATTTGTTTTCTTTTTATTCATGCATATTTTACTAATCACTCCCCCCTCAAATGGAAATATATGTTTACATAAATGGTGACCAAACCGTTTGAGACCCACAGAGATAACTTAGACTAAATTAACTATCTAAACACTCAGAGAGTCCTTAACCTCACCTGAGCTGTAGTTATCAGTCTCTCAGTCTGACAGCAGAGGACTCCCAGCTAGCGGGGAACGTTCTCACAACTTTGGCTAACATTACCTACAGGTTCTAATAATGTTTTAAAGAAACGTTTTAATCTGGTGTTCAAATAACCTTTTTAGGATGTTCACACTCATTTTTATGTCTCTCCCAGGAGGAATCCAAGGCCTTCCACACTCCCAAGACCAGCCAGGCCTCTCTACCCACCCTGGAACAACTGTTTTCCACTGCCGCCATAACCAACCTCCACTCCCAGCTCCCCTTTTCTAATAAACAAATGTTACTTTCACCAGCTGATACCGAGTCTGATTCTTGTACTAGCTGCTGGTCACATTTAAAAAACAAAAAAAGGAAAAGACTTCTGATAAATCGGAACGATAAAGCACGTTATCCTACTCTAAAATAATAACATTCTGGCAACATAAAAAAATCTAACTTGCAGCTGAAAACGTTTTAAGAATAGTAGGGCATAATGTTCTAACAATGTTATCAAAAACATTTAAAAAAGGTTATTACCAAGCATTTTAAGAATGTTTTTAGAGAAAGTTATCCTACCTTTCAGAAGAACATTCTGGGAACCAAATTAAAACGTCCAGCTGAAAACGTTTTAAGAATAGTAGGGCATAATGTTCGAACAATGTTATCAAGAACATCTTAAGAAGGTTATCAAAAACATCTTAAGAAAGTTATCACCAAACATTTTAAGAATGTTTTTAGAGAACGTTATCCTACCTTTCAGAAGAACATTCTGGGAACCAAAATAAAACGTCCCTCTGAAAACATTCCTAGAACAATGAATGGTAACATTCTCAGAATGTTTTGAGAACCAAAAATGTCTAGCTGGGAACTCACACATGCCACCGCAAACATGCAATATCTGCTTACAGCTTATTATGAATGACGTGCTTGTTTGTTTTTTTCAAAAGGAACATATGGTGACATCAGATTTTTTTTAAAACATCCTTTCAAACAAATGCAACAAGTTTGTTTTTTAAAGCTCTCTAGAAATAAATCTGACGTTGACCATGACCGTGTTAATATTTGCCATCACAGGAACGTTTTATTAAAAAAAGAATAACATCCTGAAAACATTTTCAGAATGTTGCTTGGAGAATGTTCTTCATTTGTTATCATGTAACATTGAGGGAACGTTTTATAAAGAACATCTTTAATGTGTTACCCAACAACGTCCAAAAAACATTCTCAGAATGTTGCAGGCAAAATGTTCCACCTTTGTTAACATATCACATTAAAGGAACGTTTTATAAAAAAACTTTCTGTCATCTCAGGCCTCAATAACATCCTCAAAACATCCTCTGAATGTTGCAGTTAAAACGTTATGTCTTAATTAACCTTAAACCTTATAGGAACATTATTTGAAATAATAAACATCCTAAAAAGGCTCTTTGAACATCAGATTAACGTTTCTTTAAAACATTATTAGAACCTGTAGGTAATGTTAGCCAAAGTTGTGAGAACGTTCCCCGCTAGCTGGGACATCTTTCGTTGTCAGAATAACGTTAATCTGATTGACTACGGCTAACGTTACCACTACAATAACGTCACAAATATTCTACTTGCTAACGTTATCATTTTTAGTTGTTTAGTTATACAAATTAAAACAAGAAGACAACTATGAATATTCAGAATGATTCACTTGGTGTCTACTTACCTAATGTTACCGTCCTACGGAGAAATGTTGACTTGTTCGATCCATGGATTTATAACTCTTGCATCAATCTGAAACGGTCACGGTCACGCTTTTCCTGGAGAATATTTTCAAAATGACAAGGGTCACGAGGCTGCATTAAACCAAAGAGAAGGCGCGGCCTATCTGATGACGAATCGAAACCTAAGATCAGATGCGGACCAGACAGACTCAATGCAAAGATATACTCTGAGGGAGTCCATCATCCCAGAATAAACACTACACAACTCAACACCAACACCACGCCAAGAAACAACACCAAAGAGAGGTTCTGGTGCACTCTGAGAAGTGTACTTTATGTCCATTCTACTCCAAAGTGTAAACATGTTTACTCTGGTCATCAGTACTCTGGGATTTTAACACTTTGGTATTTGCTGTGTTGCCACAGAGGAAATTAATTCTGAAAAGCGAAAAAAACAAAGCTAGATCCAAAGCTTCTCCTGACATATTTTCTGAATCATCTGTAAAACAGCCAAGAACTACAGTACCGCTGTCACAGAGGCTGACAGGAAATAGCTGTGACCGTCTCCTGAGAGCCTGACAGTGTGATTGAAAGACAAGCTACACAAATATAACTTCACATTCTGCTTTAATGCTATTACTTCATGTTTTATTTTGGAGAAATTCCTAAGATGGCACCATCTTTGTTACAACAGTTTCTGGGCGCCCTGGTTGACATACAGAAATGGAATTTCTGAATGCATGTGAGGATCATGAAATATACGGCTGTTTTTTAATTGTTGTGTTGGTGATGCATCTTATGATTGCTGTTGACAGTGTTATTAGGTAATAGTGTACTAAGTGACAAAGTGTTGGTACATGAGTTAATTTGAGATGTTTTATGCGTTTATGATTACCTGTGATGAGCTGTGTTGGTAAAAACTCAAAAGGCTGCAGAGAAATGTGTTACTATTTAATTCTGTGTGATCGCCACACATA